TGGAGCAATCCCCAGGGGCCAGCCAGCCCTGGCTGCACTGCCAAGTCAGTGGGTTCTGGTCCTGAATGGGCTTCCTGGTGGCTTTGCTTTCATCCCTGTTCCTTCCCGCAGGTGAGACAGAGGAGATCACCTGGGCACAGCACCATGGGGGCCACCAATGAGGCTGTGATGGAGATGGCAGGCCTGGGGTGGCCCTTCCAGGTAGGGACGCTGTATGACTGCCGCAGTGACCTCCTCGTCCCAGGTACACATCAAAGGCAGGAGATTTCACTGCACTGATGCAGATTTCTTCGCAGACAGCACACACTTTCATACCCAGAAAGGCACTAGTTACCTTGCAGGTGTCTCGTGCCCTTTCTCCTGTTGCTCAGACAGTCCAGGCTCTCACTGGGACATTCAGGGGTGCAGTCTGCTTGTCCAGCTGTCCAACAACCATTTGTGTCCAACCTGGTTTATGTCTTTTGTTCCTTGCATCTTCATTCTTCTTACCGTAACTCTTGCTGCTGCTGCTACTGGCTGTTTGCAGGTTATTTGCACAACTGCGTTTTAACCGTTGGGTATTCTTCTAGAGCCCCGTGCGCATAAACACTCCCAGACTGGCAGACTCTCCTTACTCCACTTCAATTTCTGAGTATCTTTTTCGCTCTGTCCGTGGCAAAGCTGTTGCTTTGGCAGAACTTGCAGGTGCTTGGCCAGGGCCTCACGGGAGGGGACACTGGCAGTTTTTATGGTTGCACCTGAACCAGGCAGGGAGTGCTCCTCAAGGCAAGCCAAGTGCCACGTGCAGGGAGGGACTCACCTCTCCCTGCTCAGCATTTGCAGATCCTGACCCCACTGCAGTGAGATGGTACAGTCGGGCATTGCCTGAGGGTCCCGCCTGGGGGCTGGGCAGGAGTGCGGGCAGCTGGGCAGTGTCTGGATTGTGTCCACTGCGCGATGCTGGAGGCCTCTGCGGGAGGGGGCAGCCGAGCTGGCTGCTGACAGTCACAGCGGTGCCTTGGGGTTGGTCAGAGACATCCAGATCCCTCTGGGGGTTTCGTCCTCCAAGGGCTGGACTGGAGCTGTCCCAGAGACCTCCTCTGCCCCTGCAGCAAAGCTCTTCCACAGGGCCCTGGGCTTTGGGACTGCAGAGACTCTGCCCGGCTGGGCCAGGGGCCTGGGATGGAGATACCAGGTGGATCTAGGATCTTGAAAAGAGGGGTACACATGGTGGGGTGCATCCCCTTATGGAACAAGACATACCTTTTTCTCCAGTTAAAAAGAAACAAGAAACGTCACTAATAACACGAATAAGTAGGGGCCTGGAGCTCTATTAAAGACTGAAGCAAAAACAAGACAAACAAACAATCCCCCTTTATTGGAACGTGCTTGAATTTGCTCTGTTTTATGTGACATATAAAAACATAAAAAACGAGGACAAAATAATCCAGAGATGTTGTTTCATTAGTCCTGTAGTAATTGGATTTAAATCTGTGTCCTTTTCAGATTCATAAAACAAAATCAGGCCCTCCTGAGCATCGGGACAGAGGTGTTCCAGCCGCCAGCGGAGGGTTCAGGATTGATCGAGAGTGTGGTCGGGGGGGGTAGAAAGGTAAGAAAGGTTTATTGACTTAACAAAAACACGACTATGCATAGTATACTAAGACAGATAATGACAGACAAAAGCAACTCATGTCGGCAACTTATCGGCAGTCCCCTCTGATGCTTGATGTACGACAAGTTTCTCTTTCCACAAAGCTCACCGAAGTCAGACGTCCCTGATCAGCGCTGTCCGAGAGGTACTGGGAAGGACCCCGGTATTCAGTCCTTGGGCTCCTCGAGGTCCACGGGCCCACTGATCCGGGTCAACAGCTAATTAGTCCCTTTTACAGAGCTGTATCTTCCTTCTGAATGATTTCCGGATGTGCCAGCCAATTTATAACTTCTGAGCTTTGCTGATAACTTACAGCCATTCACATTCTTTTTACTTCAACTGTCCTTAGACTGACCAATAGCAGTACGAGCCTTGTATTCTTCTGATAAGGTTAATTTTAACTATGCCACAGGGCCCACTATTACTACTTCTATAAGGCTTTGCTAAATTTACTAGGCCTTATACGACATACAAGGCTTCACTACATCTTAGGCTGTAATTAGGCTCTTAACAACAACATATAGCTTAATATCTGAACAAATGACAGAAAAACACTTGGTCTAATCTTTGTAGAGCCTTCAGCAAGCACCTTTGTCACACGGCCATAATTTTCAGCTGTCACCCAAGCCTCCAATGCTTTATTGCCAGCACGTGGAGGGAAGTCATTCACACCTTCCAACAGGCTCCCACCAAGCGTTTCCTTGTTGGGTCCTCTCAGCAAAACTCCAGGCAAGCAGATACAAACAGCTCAATACTGCTCTATGACAAAGAGGCGTAAGGCCTCTTCTGGTCTACACCATTGACTGCAGACTTTACCCTCATGGTGCCAAGTGAGATCTGAGCACAGCGACATTCCTGAGTCGGGCAATGAGAAATGAAACATGGGGCTGTTTTTGTCAGGCAGCGAGGGCCGACCTGTGCCCTTGCCCATGTGCACTCCCATACCCAGAGTGCATGGTGAGGCCAGGTCTGGGCACCCTCCCACAGCTGATCTCAGGGCTGTGATTTCCAGCCTGTGTAAGAGCAGTGGTGGGGACAACCCTGGCACCTCCTGGGCATCTTTTTGAGTTTGGAGCACACACATGGAGGGCAGTGAGGAGCATGCTCAGTAGCATCCTGGGACAGACACGGTGCAGCTGCCGCAGTGTAGACAAGTCCCAGTGGAAGAGACTCTCCAGAGGAAGTGCCAGATCACAGGAAGCGAGAGTGTCCTCTGCTCCTCTTCTGGCCTTGCATCCGCACTGTCACTTGCATCCGCACTGTCCTTTCTGGGCAGTTGGAGGCCACAACTCTTTCTGGACAGGTGCTTCTCCATGAACTGGCTCTGACCAGGGATTTTCAGCCTGTTCCTCTCTTGCAGCCTCCAGCATTTAAGGTCCAGGAGGTTATGATTCAGAGGCCATGCCCCTCACTCCCATGCTCTGTATCTCCAGATGCCTCTTTCTTCCAGGATTTTGTTCAATCCCTTTTTCAAATATGGCTAAACGCTGAGGATCCACCACATTTGGACGCAAAAATCTCCATGCTTTAATTACATGCTATTTGTAAAAAATTCTTTGTGGTGGTTTTACCCTGAGTGCCTGCTAGTTTCATGGTGTGACCCTAGTTCTTGTCTGGTGACAGGGTAAATAACACAGCCCTAGACGTTCTCTTCACCACTTGGTATTTTGTAAACCCTTCTCCCTGTCCCCCTCCAGCATCTCTTTTCTCAACTGACCAGGCCTGGCCTCTTCAGTCTCTCCTCCCAGGGGAGCTGCTCCAGACCACTCATCATCCTTGTTGCACCTTCTCTAGTTCTTCTCTATCATTTTCAAGTGTGGGGACAGAACTGGACACAGGGTTCAAGGTCTGCATGCACCACGGATTTATAAAGAGTGCACAACGATCCTTTCAGCACTTAGTTATGTTAGCATTAAATTATTCTGCAGTGGCACCCCCAGGCAGATAGGAGCAGGGGTTGCGGTACCCCACGGCATGCCAGGTACAAACCAAATGGAGCTACAGCTAATGCTGTGCACAGAAGGTGGGAGGCTCAGGGCAATGCAGGTTTGGGCAGGAGGAGCCTGGGGGTGGCTCAGCTTCCGAAGCCTGGGAAAGCTGAGAGCTACAGGACACAGCCCTGAGCAGCCTGTGCCTCAGGACCAGTGCTCTGCCCCAGTGCACCCCACGACTTGGCTTGCAGTGACTTTCTCCTGGGGTTGCCCCATAACAGAATGACATCCTGCCCTTGCCCTTGGCACTTGCCCTCTGGGAGACCCCTCATCCGCGGATGGATCCAGGGGGTGCACCTGTGCCCTGCTTTGATCCCTGCTCCACCCAAAGCATAAAGCGAACTGCTTGGCATGGCAGCAGTGTTCCTAGTCAGGCAGCACTAAGGGAGTTAATTGACTTCATGGCTTATTGAAAGCTCCCTGATTCCTTCTAAACTCTTCACTCCACAGGTGTTAGAGGCATCCAGTTAATTTTGAAGGCAGGACAAGTGAAATAACATCTTTAGATTATATTTGCTAATTGCTTGTGTTTCTATACTTAATGTATCATGGGGCAAATGAATAAACATCCCAAGTCCTTTATATTTGGTTTTGCTCTCATCTTAAAGTAAATAACACAGCCCTGGGCCATGAGCTGATTTCCTAAATCCTCTAGTTTCTTTTGAACTGGAGAAAAATATGCATTGGGTTATATGTGGTGAAGCACCACACCAGCTGCACCCACCTTTCCCAATTCCTAGATCGGCCCATGCCTACATCGAATCGGAGAGAGCACAGCACTGCTTCCTAGAAAGAAAAAGAAACAAACCACCCCCCTGAAACTGCCTTTTCCAAAACGTGAAAACTAGAGGTAAAATATGGCCACGGGGTGGCAGAGCTCAGCTATAAATCTGTCCCAGCAGATTTCCTTAATCTCCCTGCCTTGCTGTTGTTTGGTGGAAGTGCCTGCGTCTGTCACTCGCGGCCTGTCCTTGTGTTTTGTCTTCCAGGGATCACTTGATGGAGTCTGGAAATACAGAAAAAGGATTTAAATGGGAGGCCAGAGCCCAGGACAGATTTTGAGGTCATTGTGCCTGACCGCATTGAGGACAAAGCCTCGGCCCTGGCTGGGTTGGCTGCCCTGAAGGCCAGTTTCCTTGGTGGTCTGGTGGAGGTGGGTCTGTGAAATACTTAAAAGACACCACAAAATCCAAGCAGCGGGCCAGGACAGCGCACCAGTCCTCAACCGCAATGCAGTTTAAGCAGGTGACTATGCGTGAAATAGGTTGCATTGCCTGATGTACGTCACCAAGGCGCTGTCACCCGTGTGGTCACCGCTGTGCTGTATGGGGCTTCTTTGTGTTTGACCGAGAAGTGTCCTCATCTGCGGTCATCCAGGAGATACAGAGAGCGCTCCAGGTTATGATAAAAGAGATGCCGCTGGTCTCTACAGAAGGGGAAGAGTCCCTCAAAATGGATGACGAAGAGAAAACCCGGGCTGAGAAATTCAGCTGCAAGGTTCGTGGTGATTTTACTCTTGAGAGCAATCCGGTGCCCTAGCAGGATGCCATGGAAGTTGACTTGCCCGACACTGTCTCAGTGTAAACAGGAGGTGCTGTCAAACCCCTGATAAAAGAGCTGTGTTTGCAGTCAGAGCTGTAGCAGCACCGGCTTGGCTCACAGACAGCTCTTCAGACTCATTACAAAAGGTCCTAAGCCGCAGGCCCAGGCCCTCTCTTACGTCTGTAGCAAAGGTCTTGCAATCTCGATGGGGCAAAGTCCTTCACCATCTGGTGTTGCCTTGTCCTGCCGCACCCCTTTGTGAGACTCCCAGGGCACTGGAGCAGGATTGTGTCCCTTTAAGTCCCTGAAAGCACCCCAGTCCAAGCTTCAGCCCCTATTCCCAGCTGTTTTGGTCTCCCTTGCACTGTCTGAGGGCTCTGCTGTCCGGCAAGGCTGTGCCAGCAGTGACTGGATGCAGAAACCAACCTGGATTGGGCACATTTCCAAGGAGTTCCTGCAGCTCGGGTCAGCACAGGGGCTCGGGGGCAAGAGCACAGCTGGGAAGAAGGGCTGTCTCCATACTGAAGCCTGATTGATGCCCTAGGTAAGTCCTGGCTTTCCTCTCAAAAATGTTCTACGTGGCAGGGAGGATGACCCTGGGGGTGCTGCTCAGCGGCCGTGTGTTGGGTATGTCTGCATGGGAGATATGAAGCCTGAGTGAACACAGCCGAGCTTGCTCTGAACTAGCCAGGCTGGCCCGACCCAGCAGCTGAAGTCCTGCCCTTTGTTCTGGTGCAGTGCTGGGGGCCCTGGGTCTTTCTGCCCTGGGACACCGGCTGGACAGCCAGCTGCCTAGGGGTGTGCTTTTGGGATGCCTGCTCCTTACCAGGTCTAACGATGCAGCTCTGAGCCCATGTACACTGCTTCATGCATCACCTTGTGCACTTTCCTGAGGGTCTTGCATAGACATTGACTGGTGGGGGTCTAACCAAGCCCGCAGTGCTGGAGATTTCATAGCTCACATAGATGTTAGGGCTGGAAGGGACCTCAAGGATCATCAAGTCCAGCCCCCTGCCCCAGGGACAGGAAGTCAACTGGGGTCATAGTATCATAGTACTTAGGTATGGCTTGCCGTGCAAGTCTCTGATCATATGAGTGGCCTTTCTTTGGACTCTCTCAAGCTTTACCACGTCCTAACTAAGGTGCAGAGCTCAGAACTGGATGCAGTACTCTAGCTGCGGTCTCACCAGTGCTGAGAAGAGCCGAGTAGAGCAGGAGAATCACTTCTTTGCAATGGTTTTGCTGGAGATGCATCAATTGATGCATGCCAGCGTATTGTTGGCCCTGCTGGCTAGGAGATGTTCCTGGATGCTTTTGGTGAGCCATGGGGGCTTTTGTGCCCTCCCACCCCCTTTGATCCATGTTGGGATTACCTCCCTTTGGGCTTGGAGGATCGTCTCTTTAAGGAACGACCACTCTTCTTGGACACCCAACTCCCCTCCCCTCTGGGACCCCAGTGCCTCCCCAACTAGTCTCCTTACCTCATTGAAGTCCGCCCTCCTGATGTCCAGGGTTGCTGCCTTGCTGCAGGCCTTTCCCACCCTGCGCTGGATGGTGAATCCCAGCAGGCAATGATCACTGTTGCCCAGGTGGTCGAGCACCCGCAGACTCCTGACCAGCTCATTGCCCGTGGCTGACCAGGTCCAGCAAGGCGTCTCCCCTGGTGTGGCTGTGCACCTCCTGGGTCAGGTGGAGGTCCTGTATCTCAGCTAGGAACCTACATGAGAGGTCAGACCTGGCTGACTGCTCTTCCCAGCAGATGTCTGGAAAGTTCAGGTCCCCCATGATAACCACGTCCTTTGACCTAACTGCCTCCGCAAGCTGACTTAAGAAATCCCCGTCCAGCTCTTCCCCTTGGTTGGGTGGTCTGTAGTAGACCCCCACCGTTAAGTCCCTTTCTCCTCAACTTCCTTGTACTCTAACCCAGAGCACTTCAGCCTGCCCCTCCTCTGACCCCGTGCTACTCGTTGAGGATGTGTATTCCTCCTTGACGCAGAGCGCCACACCCCGCCTCTCCTCCCTGTCCTGTCCCTCCTGTACAGCCGATAGCCCTTGATAGTCACCGCCCAGTCGTGCGTTGGGTCCCACCACATTTCCGTGAGCCCCACTATGTCTGGGTTGGTGTCAGCTAGCAGGAGGGCAAGTTCCTCCTGCTTGTTCCCCATACTACGAGCATTAGTGTAGAGGCATTTGAGGCCTCCTGAAGATGTGTGTACTGGCCCCCTACTCTCTGTACTGCCCTGGCCCCTGTTGCTTACCTGGGTATTCTGCTTGTCGTCAGTCTAGGCTGGGTTGTTCTTGTTGGTGATGTTTGGTTTATACTGTTCATACTGTGGTCAATCATTACTCTCAGGTCTTGGTGACAAATGATTGGGGATCTGCAGTCCTGTTACCTGATGAGAGGCAGCAGTTGCACTAGCACCCATGTCATGAGTTTTGCCTGTGAGCAGCTAGGGTGCAGGGGGGTTCTGGTGCCCCAGAACCCCCCCTGCACCAATCTCCTTGACAGCTGGCAGGCTTTGTGGCCACAGCAGGGGGCATCATCCCTGCAGCTGTCACCCACCCGTGCCTTAAGACACACAGTGTCACCCATGTCACAAGTTTTGCTTGTCCACAGCTTGAGGTGCCATTTCCCCCAAGCCCCTATCACCTTGAAACTTAGCAGGCTTTGTGGCCTAACCGGGGGCTAGCAAGCCTGTAGTTTTGACCCTGCTGTGGCTTAACACATACACATGACACAAGTTTAGCTCTCAAGCATTTGGGGTACAGTTTCTCCAAACTCCCTGCACCTAACTTCTTGAAACTTGGCACACTTTATGCCCTCAGAAGGGGATACAATTTCTGCAAGTTCTATCCAAAACTGGCCAGAAATAACAAAGTTATACGCTGTTTCAACCTTCCCCATTATAGCCTATGGGTGAAGCATTGAAACAGCGTCAAAACGGTGAAACATTTCAACTTGCCTCATTTTGTTTTGAGGCTGTTTTGACCATATCTGCTTCATTTTGATTTTGCTGTTTCAACTTTGAAACAGGTCAAAACTGTGTTGAAACACAACTGGTGGTGAAATTTCACACAGCCCTAATACCTAGGTGGACGGGGGTAAGTTTAGTTTTAAAAAGGCTGTACTGTGGGGTGACTGACTGACGTAGCACGGTCCTCTTTCTGTACTGAATGGCACACCCAGTGATGGATCTGACATTACATAGACAGATGTTGTGTTGCAGGGTAAGTAATATTATAAAATTCATTCACTGTAATAGATTGACAAAGGGTACAGAGACAAACACATACAAAACCAATGCTGACAAGTAGGGATTGAGCACCGGGGTCTTTGAACATTAAATAGGGACAAATTGAAAAATCAGGGTCAAAGCAAAGGGTTTGGGACTGTAACATAAGTTCTTCACAAAGGAAACCAGAGCCAACATCCTTACAGTTATTGACTGTGATGGCTTTAAATTGGCCATTAGGTTGTTTTAGAGCCTAATGTTTGCTTGTCTGTGGGATTGCAGATTGCTAGTGACATTCCATAGGGGTTGTGTCATATTAGTCAATAAAGGTTTACCGATATCCTGCTTTACTATGAAAGGTCCAATCTGATGTCTTTCTGCTTTGTCATGGATTATGATTTCTGTGGCTAGGGTTGGGGAGTCCTTGGAAGTAGAAGCTCCCCACAGCCCAGAGCTGGATAACGAGAAGTCATGCACTAGGGTGCCACAGCTGGAAAGGGGACATTCCTCAGGGCAGCTGGTGGCATTGAAGGTAAAGTCTATGGGTTCAGATTTTGGATGGGTGAAGTTGACAGGCAACTGTCCTTGTAGGGAGCTGACGGTCATTTGTGGTGGGACATCTGGACTAGTACTATTACTGCCACAGCACTCCTGGATGGTGTGCTCCCCAGCAGGAAGGGGACTGGAAAGGTTCCACGCTATACAGCAGAGCTTTCCAAACTGTGTGCCGCGACACATTAGTGTGTCGGCGGCAGTGTGTAGGTGTGTCGCGCGACATGCAGAAAATTTTGCGGAAGGGCACCGCGGAGATCCCTTGCTCGCGTCTGCTTCCCTTGGCCCCTCCCCCGGAACTGAATTACTGTGTCGCGAAATGATGCATGTCTAAAGAGTGTGTCACCAACATGAAAAGTTTGGAAAGCTCTGCTATACAGGAACTGGGGGAAGGTGGTGGTGGAGAGGGTATGGTTAGGGACACCGCGGGGAGAAATTTCATAGATTTCATAGACATCAGAGCTGGAAGGGACCTTGGAAGATCATTGCGTCCAGCCCCCTGCCCCGGGGGCAGGAAGTCAGCTGGGGTCATAGGATCCCAGCAAGACAGACATCTAAATGTCGCTTGAAGGTGTTAAAATAGGTGCTTGAACCAAGTCCAATGGCAAGATATTTCAGACCTTGGGGGCTTGGAGAGTAAAGAAGTTCTTCCTTATGTCCAGCCTGAAACGGTTTTGAAGGAGTTTATAACCGTTAGACCTTGTCATTCCTTGGGGTGCGGAGGGCACATACTGCTGCAGAATACTATTTTATACCCATAAAAGCAACTACAAATTATATTTTTATTACAAGTACACCTTATATCCTATAAAACTAATACTAACATAATAAAAGAAGAAGCCTGCAGCAGCAGCCCCACCCAGTTCTAGCACAGCTGGCCCTTCCACCCACGAGGGTGGGAGCGAGACATGATAGGATGTGTTGAAGGCAGGTGTAGGTGCCTGGCTCCCACCCTCGTGGGCGGAAGGGCTGAGTGGGGCACAGTTCGCTGACTGGATGAAAGTGCCTGGCAGGCTGGAAAGGTGAAAGAATAAGGAGTGCAGTGCTTTGTATAGCCTCTTCCCAGCACAGCGATGCATCATCTGGGGGGATAGGAGACAGGTGTGGGGCTGCAGAGCTGCTCCAACCCAAGTCCTTTCCTGAAGGGAGAGACCCAGGGAGGTGTCAGGGGGCAGCACATCCCTGGGACCTGCATGGGGGTGGCCTGCAAAATGTTTCATCGGCATGGCATTCAGCGGGGGGTTGTATCCAGCCCATGTCCTAGAATTAAAGTCAGTCAATGGAGTCAACTGCCCAGGGCCGCGGAGGCATCTCCTGCACTGGAGGTTTCCAAGAGGAGGCTGGAGAAGCCCTGCACAGGGGTGATTTAGGAGCAGCATGCTGCATTCGTGCAGAGGGCTGGAGTGGATGACTTCGAGGTCCCTGCCAGCCCTGCAGTCAACAAATAAATCCTATTTAATGCTTTATTAAATGATGGTGGAAATTATCCATTGATAACGGTGACATCCATGATGTTCTGGCCGGCACTAAAGACCTCTGCAAAGAGAGATTCTTTGAATAAGGGACTAGGCCTAGGCTTTGGGGCTGAGGAACCAGCGAGGAGGCTACACGGAGTAGTAGGCACCCCACAATGATCCCCTGTGCAGCTGTCTCATAGGGCTGTGTGAAACAGAACAATTTCATTTCGACATCTGTTTTGACATTTTGATAGGACAGTGTTTCGTTTTGACTTGCATTTTGTTGAAACTCTTTTGACGCAGTATCACCCATAGGCAATAATGGGGAACCATGAAACTGCCTATAACTTTGTCAGTTCTTGCTTGATTCAGATGAATGTCCCCTTCTGAGGTCATGAGGCTTGCCATCTTTCACAGAGATAGATGCAGAGGGTTTGGGGAAACGGCACATCAAGTGAGCGAAACTTTTGAAACATTTGAATTGCCCTCCTTTCATTTTGAGGCTGTTTCAAAGCCCTTTGTTTCATTTTGATTTCACTGTTTTGAGCTCAAAACAAGTCGAAAAAGCATTGAAACAAAACAGCCGGTGAAGTTTCGCACAGCCCCACATTCTGTTCATTCTCCTGTGGTGCAATGTTTGTTATGCCGAAGAAACACTTCCCAGAAATCACCCTTCCTCCCCAGAAACGTGAAAAAGCCACAGTGCCTCAACTCCTCCCTGACAACTGCACCCAAGGACATCGGAATGTAGTTTCTGTTTTGCACCCAGATGGATTTCAGAGAACTTTGAAAGCTTCTGTGTCCTGTGTTCAAGTCAGAGCAATCTGCAGGTTAGGAAGGAAGAAGAAGCCCTTGATTTCCTACCAGGTCTGACTGCACCCAGGTAAGAGCAGAAGTGCTGGAAACTGTCTGTTTTCCAGCAGGAAAGCTGAGAGTCCGGGGTTTTTCCTCAGCCCAGCTGCTGACGGCAGAGAACTGCAGTGGCCTGCTTGCCAGGCCAGGGCTCTGGGTGGATAAAATCCCCTGTGCTCCTCTGCTGAGCTGGAAGCACAAGGGAGTGAATCATTAAGACTTGAGGGTGGGGGCCCTGCCTCAATGACTCGCTGGGGTGGACAGGACTGGTCCTACCTGCCTTCCCTTCCCTCGGCCTCATCAGCAGTCTTGGGCACGCGGCTTCCTTGGTGCCAGGTGGGGCTGCAGCTTGGGGGTGGTCTCTGGAGTCAGAATGGGGTGCTAGTGCCCTGGGGTAGGTGTGTGGGGCTGCACAGGGGAGCCTGGGGGGTGCAATAAGCAGTCTGTGGTCTCCAGGTGCCACCAGACCCTCCTGCCCACCTCCATGTGCTGAGAGGGCTCCTGGGCTCCAGTGTCCTGTGCTGGGAGGTGCAACCTGGGCGCTGGGGTCACAGTCTCTGGGTGGCTGCAGTGATGTCCTCTCCTCCTGACCTCCCTCCACCTGATCCAGGCAGTCGCTGTGCCACAGAGCAAGTGCTTCTGGGAGTCCTGAGTGCCCCTGGCAGTGTTGTGCCCCAGCTCAACTCTGGGATCGTGCCCGGTATGCAAAGGCCAATAAAGATACCAGGGGTGCTAGCAATAAAAGGTGCGAGCGGAATAATTTCACGTAACAAGCACACCAGATTACTATATCTAAGCATCTTTTATACAGGAGTTTTTGAGCCTTCATAAGCATGCTTGTTTGCTGATTGGTTATAAGGGAGTGACACAAGAAGTTCTTTACTGAGCATGTCTCTATACCTGTGTTTTAGCTATGTATCTCATTTCCATACATGTGTGTTTCATTAGCATACTTTCTCCCCACCTAGGGGCGTGATTTTTAGTATTCTAATGAGCCCTTTTAACCCAGTTCCCTGTTTTTTCTTTTTGTTTTCAAGCCCCTTTATCTAAGACTGTCTCCTTATCATTGCAGATGGGCATTCGTCACATAACATTCTCTTCTGCTTCATCCTCGGGTAGTGCTTTCTAGGTCACTCCTTACAGCAGGGCTCAGCTCTGGGGCCAGGCTGGGCTGGGGCTTGTCATGCTTGCGGTGGCAGAAGAGGCCGGTCTCACTTCAGTGCTGTGTGAATGCACTTGCCTCCTCTGCACAGGTCTTCACAGGCTAAGCTCCCACTTTGGGGCAGAGGTACCTGCGCCCCCACACTGGGCATCTGACAAGGCCTGGTATGGGGCTGTGGCCTCTGCTCCTTCCACTGGTCTTTGTGCAGTTGTTGGAGCCCCAAATGTGTCCCAGGATTTACCATGGCCTCAGCTCTTTGCTGTATGTTTTAAATCTGCCCCTGTCCGAATTTGAGCTACCTGACCTTTAATTTAATGTAGCTCAGTGGCCTGTGCATGCAACATGGTATGATCCAGAATCCTGCTCACAAACTCAGGTATCCAGTGCGATGCTCTGAGGTATCCAGCTGGGAGGCTCGGAGGCTGCAGACATGACCAAGTATTGACTCTGCTGCCTGGAGGACATTAGTGTAACACCAGCTGTTTCTTGCAGGAGAGACAGAGACGTGTGCGGACATCGAGCCATGGACAGCTCTGATGACACAATCGAGATGTCGGCACTGGGCCGCCCTTTCCAGCTGGGGATGCTGTACGACTGCCGCAAGGAGACACTTATCCCAGGTAGGTCCCTGGCTGCAGCCCCTGTGGCAGGAGTGGAGGCAGGAACGGGCCATGGCCTGAATCGCCTCCTAGCTGGGAATGAGCTCCATGTTCTCCAAGTGCCCTGGTTACATCCATGGAAAGGGCCCGGCACATTATCACTGCAGTTCAGCCAGAAGTAGTTGGATGGGGCAGGATGTATGTGTACTGGGGTGGTGACCCAGCACCAGTCAGATCTTGGACATGTTGATCTAACGCATGGGTTGGCGATGGGTTTGGGCAGAGTGCCAAGAACACCTCAGCCTCGACTTGTAAGATATTGGTGTGCCAGAGGTGGATGGTGGGAGCGCAGATGCCCCCGCTGCAAGTGCCGGCTGGAGAATTGGCGTAGGAGAACCGTGGCCATGATTGCTGTGGCCACTTTCAGGAGCTTTGCGGCTGCTCCCTGGGCGGCAAGATTGGCTGTGAGGGAACCCCCCTCATCACTGACTGGTTACTGGGAGGTCACGTGCCCCCCTGACTAATGTGGCACCAGGCGCCCATGCCCCTCCAGGTCCTCCACCCCTCCTCAAGATCAAGAACTTGTGTTTGACAGTAGTCAGCCTGTACTAGATCTTTCTTCTGTTTTCTCCAATCCTCCTGCAGGAAATCCCCCCCAACAAGAGCACTGCTTGAGGTCTTGTACAAGGCTTTTCCCTGGCTCTACCCAGGTGGAGCTTTTAGGTTTTCATGGGGCTTCTTTTGGAGCAAGGGGAGTCATTAGGGCAGCTGAGCAAACAGCCAGTCCCTGCAGCCGTCACCTGGGGCCGCAGTCTTTGCCCCTGGGAGGTTCTCAGCCCCTTCTGAACCTCAGCCCACAGATGCTGTACATCAAGGAGCCTAAATATTCTCTTGTGACCCATACAGCATGTGCTTTGCTCATCTGTAACAACTTCCTAGTGCAGGTGTTGAGTATTTGCTGGAACGGAGCAACATAGGGATGTGCCTTGCCCTTTATCAGGGACAGATTTCTGCTACTAGCTTTATATGTGGATGTTCTGGTTAAGTTCAGTGTTACAGAGTCAGCAAGAACAAGATATGTTCCTAGCCAGCATTCCCTCTAAGCTGTGTGGTGTGCGTGGCTGCACAGGAGCACTCATGCTGCACTGCCAGGTGTGTTTGCACAGCCATGCACGTCACACAGCTTAGAGGGAGTGCTGTTCCTAGCACACCCTGTGTTGTGAGACACGGCTGGCTTCATCCTGCCCCAGTGTAGGATTTAGCACTCCATCATGGCAACCAGCTTCCTTAGCTGCAAGATCGTCCTCCCTCTTCCTGCTGTCCCCAGCTCCATTCACTACATGCCTTGCATGTTCTGCAGCTGATGAGGCAGGGACCCTACAAACAGCAGCCTTGTTCATTCCAGCATCCTAATTCACTCCCCAAGAGCAATCCAGTCAGTGAGGTGAATGAGGCAGGAGTCCAGTGAAAAAAATACCATAGGGTGTAACCATGGGATTAAAGATGATAACAACCAGCATTGAGCAAAGCGGCATTGTTGCCTTGTGCCTGACACCTATTACTTCTGCTGGTGGAGTCCAAACTTGCATTCATCTTTGCAGCTGCATCACACTGCAGTCTCACGCAGAGTCTGTGATCACCAAGCCCCGAAGATCGTTCCCTGCAGATCTGCTGCCCAGTCAGTTGTCATCCATCTTGTAGTTATTTGGTTCTTCTTCCCCAGGTGCAGTATGTTGCATTTGTTATCCTTGAACTGCATCCTAGTGGCTCCAGCCCAGCTTTCCAATGTATCGAGATCCTTCTGAATCATGCTCCTGTGCCCCAGTGTGTTCTCAATCCGTCCCACTTGTATGTTTGATTAGGGAGCTCTCTGCTTCAGTACAGCACTAACAAATACCTTGAACAGCACTGAATGCTGCACAGCCGCAGTCTGTAAAGCTATGGAAACTTCCAGTGTTCAGAAAGGTGGCTAGCTGTCTTAGCCTGAACCCAGGGAGAAGGAAGGGCAGGGAGCATTGGACAAAGCAGCTGCTGCCTAGGGAAGCTCCTGCCTTTCTGAACCAGTCAGCTGTAATGCTCCCCTCTGCTCTGCCTCTGCCTTGCTCTTCAGTACTTGTGACATCGTGTCCCTTCCTGCCTGTCTACGTGGCCATTCATCTGGCAACAGCAGGACAGCAAGAGCTGCTGCCCCTTCCCACAGCAGCTCAGTGGCTGGGGCATGGTCCTGAGGGCAGAGAACCAGGGGTCATCATCACCCAGGCCCTTCTCACATGCTCTTTCTGAAGCCGGGCCACTGCCCCTTGCCTTTCATATAGCCGTTGGAAGAAAAGGGTGGAAGGCAGCACCTGCCCCACTGGGAGCAAGAGCCTAGACTGGAACCCAGACCTCCAGCCCTCTCACTGAGCCACGTGTCCTCCAGCTTGTCCTGCCCCTCCTGGCCCAATTTGTCTCCCAGGTACCTCCCTCTCGTAGCCGTCCGGGGAGACAGCTATAAGAAGAGCCCCTGCATAACGGTTGAGCTGTGGTGTGGGGGCTGCAGTGCTGTGCTGAAGGGTCAGAGAGACTCAGATCCATACTACCTCTAGGCCAGGAGTCCTAGACCCCCGCCCTTCCAGCCTCCAGGTGAGAACTACTGGAAGGAAAGACTGGGAGGTCCCTCCTTCCCCATCTCCATTCCTGTGACTACAAGTAGTAGTCGTGGATTTGAGATGCTTTGGGTCCACATATACAGGTATTAGAAAGGTGTTGGCAAAGCTGTCTAGAGGGTAGGTGAGCAGACCACTGTAGAAAGCGTTAAGGAAAGAGAAGGGCGCGCACTGCAGACGCAGCATACGGTGACATGCCCGTGGAGGGCACTTCTTCTGTGCTCCTCTGCACTGACTCCAAATTCTGCTGCCGAGCCTCCTGTCAGTACAACTTCACGTGGGGTTATGATCTAGACGTTGCATATTCCTGGTTATGGGTTTGTTGGTCTTTTTAACATAGGATTTTCTGTTTTAACCCCTCACGCACTACAGTGCTTGTCTTCTTGCCAGGACAGACAGGTTATTCAACAGTATTCAGTTCCCCTTTTCTTTGTATGCTACAGTTGGTTAAAACAAAGAGTTCTTATCCTGCTGCCCTTGACCGTGCATTTGTAATGTTCTAGGCATCTCTCTGTGGGACCTGGACACCCTCCGAAATGACGTGGATACAAAACCACAGTCCAAGACAGAATTTCAGATCATTGCATCAGACACCATTGATGCCAAGGCCTCTGCTCTCAACATCACAACTTCCCTGAAGGCCAGCTTCTTCTGTGGCCTGGTGAAAGTGAACGGATCGGCTGAATATTTAAATGATACCAAGACATCCAGACA